GTCCCTGTATTGTGATGCCGAGCCGGCCGGGTCCCTGTATTGTGATGCCGAGCCGGGCCGGGTCCCTGTGTTGCGGTGCCGAGCCGGGCCGGGTCCCTGTGTTGCGGTGCCGAGCCGCGCCAGGTCCCTGCATTGTGGTGCTGAGCCGGGCCGGGTCCCTGTATTGTGGTGCCGAGCCGGGCCAGGTCCCTGCATTGTGGTGCTGAGCCAGGCCCCGTCTCTCCATTGTGGTGCCGTGCCGTGCCGGGCGAGTGCATCGGTGTGAGGTGTTCTATAAGGCAGCCCTGTGTCGCTGGCGCCTGCGTGTGATGAATGGAGTCAGAGCTCAGCCCCCCCCATCCTGTGCTCACCCCCGCAGGTCTCCTGGCATTGCTGGGGCTGTCGGTGTACACTGGCGTGACAGTGAATTTCTTCGGTAAGCGCTACGCTAACTGGCGCTTCTCCTGGTCCTACATCCTGGGCTGGATCGCTGTCATCCTCACCCTCTCGGCAGGTACCTGCTCCTGGGGGCTCCCCAGCTGCTCCCCTCTCTGTGTCCAGGCCCCTGGGTGCCCAGCACGGCACCCCAGCCCCCTTTCCATACTGTGGCTCCTGGTGCCCCAACTGCCCAGGCCAGCCCCAGCCTTGGGCTCCCCACCCACCCCCGGCCGTACTGTTCCCTCCATCCCACTGCCCAGCAGGGACTCTGCCACGGGGTGCTTGCCAGGAGCCCGAGCAGCAGTGAACTCAACTGAACTTCTGGGGTGTCTGGTCCATCAGTACCAAATTCACAGCCACGAAAAACGCGTCACGGACTGTGAAATCTGGTCTCCCCCCGTGACATCTGGTCTTTTCTGTGCTCTTACCCTGTACTGTACAGATTTCACGGGGGGACACCAGCGTTTCTCCAACTGGGCGTCCTGAACCAAAAGGGAGTTGCAGGGGTGGGGGGTCACAAGATTATTTGAAGGGGGTAACGGTATTGCCATCCTTACTTCTGCGCTGCTGCGGGCGGTGGCTCTGCCTTCAGAGCTGGGCTCCCGGCCAGCAGCCGCCGCTCTCCAGCTGCCCAGCTCTGAAGTAAGGGTAGCAGAACCACAACCCCACCCCTACAATAACCTTGCAGTCCTCTCCCCACAGGTCCTTTTTGGATCAGGACCCCGACAATTTCAACACTGTGAAGTTTCAGATTTAAATAGCTGAAATCATGAAATTTATTATTTTTAAAATCTTATGACCATGAAATTGACCAAAATGGACCATGAATTTGGTAGGGCCCGACCCATCAGAAACCAGTGAGGCCTGCTGGGAAGCCTGGGGAGGGGTGAGGCTGTTAGCCGAGCTCCCAGGGCAAGGGGCAGGGTGGAGTGAAGTGCGGGGGGGGGGGTGCAACCCAGGCAAGCCACGGGCAGGGGGGGAGGGGGGCTCACAGGTGCAGAGGAGAATGAGGCAGGTGTGGGGAGGGGAAACTGCTGGAAGGATCCAGGAAGGAAGAAGCATGGGGGGCAGGCTGCCATGGGACAGGGGGTGTGTGGGGTGAGGGGAGGAAGGAAAGGGGGGCAGGGTGCCATGGGGCAGGGGCTCAGGACCCCATCCATCCCTCCCTCCATCCCCCATCCATCCCATGTGGGGTGAGGGGAGGGAGGAAGGGGGGCAGGGTGCGAAGGGACAGGGGGTGCATGGGGTGAGGGGAGACAGGAGCAGGGGACAGGGCCCCATGGGGCAGAGGGGTGAAGGGAGGGAGGAGCAGGGGACAGATCCACATGGGGCGGGGGGGC